ACTAAACCCAAACCCTAGCCACCAGCCTCCCACCAGAGAAGAAGAACCAGTCACCGGAGAAGTGAGTCGACCGCCAACCGTCGCCACACCGGAGCCACATCCTACCGCCAAAAAATATAAAAATTCTCATATTCGCTCGAAACTTGGTTTTAAACATCCTCATGGCCAAATTAGAGTAAAACAAACGACAGGTGAGAATAAAATCGTGAGCAAAACCTACAACCGCCTTCGATAAGCCACTTCTCGTTTCTCGTTTCGTGCGATTTTTTCACCATTGTGTTCACTATTTTATTTTCTACAGGTTGACTGAAGAAAAACGCCTAGCCGCGAAGGTGAGCAAGTGGAGTCGCTGCATCGAAAAATCCCACCACCGGTAGGTTTCCATTTTTAATTTTTTTCGATCACCCTAACATATTTTTTCGTAGGGATATGTATAAAATCGGCAAAAACTAGCGGCCAAAAAAGATCAAGTGGAGGCAAACTGCCGTCGTGGGCGGTGGTGCCGGAGCACGGTAGTGCCGCCGTGCTGAACCCCGAAATTGGTCGAAAAAGGTTTTTTCTCAGATTTTGGATTTCTAAGTTATTTTTAGGGATGTGAAGTATGTTTTAATCTCCGCATGAAAATTCAAGAAATGCGGGGATCGCCAGTAGGTGCAGTAGAAAGTTCGATATTTTGAATACTGATTCGAGTAAGAATCCCTCACCTTATTCTCTGTTATAGAATTGAAGCTTAATAATCGATAATATGATATTTTATGTAATTTAAAAATTTTTGAGAATAATTACAGATTATAATGGAGTCGGAACCAGTTAGTTAGTTATTTGCTTGTCCTGTGTAACTGATTGTTTACTTTTACAGCTTTAAATACATGAGAATATACTGGAATGGTTAAATGATTTAGTTGTGCTTTCTTGATGTATATTTATTGATTGTCTTGCGTGATTTAGGGTTAATTTATAAAATTAAAAATAAATGTGCAAACAAAAAATTGTTTGGTTATGTGAATTAATGAATGGTTGTCTTACTGGATATCCTGGGAGATGGTGGATGGACCGAGTACATATGGAATCATACCATGGATGTTGCCTTATATCGAATGGGGTGTGAGGACAGCCTGATTCACCCTCATACCGGATGGGATAATGAGGGATGGTATTTTTGACGCTCATATCGGATGGGGTATGAGGACGGCTAGTTAGTTGACAATGTTGGATATTGGTTCACGTGTAGTGGGACATCCCTATAGACCTCCAAGGATACCAGTAGGCAAATAAAAAGAAAAAATTGTTCTTCTTGCTCACTTGAATATGATATTAGAATATTATTTAAGTTATTGTTTGTATAGGTCGATTTTAAAAATCTCACAATGGTAAATATATGCAATAAATGATTTTCCTTATAATAAATGAACTTACTTAAATCAAGAGCTTAATTGGTTGTTTTTGTGATTTTTACCAACCTTTAGTTTCTGTATCGGTGAGTAGTGTGATATTTTTACTAGGCTAGTGTAGCTCACCCTTTCATTAACTATTTCAGATCAAGAGGACCAATATACAGATCCCGATCAATAAGAGGGTTACGAATAGTTCGTCACCCGAACTCCCTTCAAAAGCTAGTGAAGGTCCTCATAATTGCTCAGTTATTTACCTTTTGTTTATTTCTTTGATTTTCGTTTGTTCTTTTAGAAGGGACATTCCTGTAGCCTTATTGGACATTCTAAATTATTGTGTAAGGAATGTAAATCATAAACTCTATTATTTCGCTTTCGCATTTAATTTATGACTTTATTTCCTTTTAAGTTCCGGGTCTTTACAGAATATCACACTACTCACAGATACAGAAAATTAAAATTTTATAAAAATCAGAAAAATAACCAATAGATCCATTGCTTTAATTAAATACGTTTAACTTAAAGACTTTTGTTTGATACTTACCATTATGAGTTTTTTTATTA